ATTATCTGGATGAAATTTTGAAACTTTTGCAATATGTACAGCTACAGCTCGTCTTTTTAATGCTGGGCCCATATTTTGTTCTCGAAATAATATATCTCTTTCATTATCTCCAGTAATCATACTAAGACATTCAAATTCTTTATTGATCAAAGATTCATCTTTATTACTAGATGGTTTAGTTAGATTTTTTGATTGTTGACTTTTTAGTAGGCTTAATTACTACTTTCCTATCTGTCTCTTCTTCAACTTCTCCAAAGAATTCATGTTTTTCTTTCGTCCTTTTTATAGGTTCTATATCTTCATATGCCTCATCGTCCATTTGCAACAATTCGTCATAAAGTGATTTGCATTCTGCTAAATTTTTCGGTTGATCCCGATCCTTGAAACTTAAATACATAATTCTTTTTCATAATCTTGAATCCTATTTCCAGATTGTTTCACCAGGTAATCGGTCATTAAGACCTTTTATTTCTGATTCGTTATTATTAACTACTGGCAAAGCTTGATGAACATTATAGTTATTAGCTTCTGTAACTTGTCTAGTTTTGGATACTATTTTAGGTATTTGATTAATAAGCTGACAAGGATTCCTTCGTTCAAGATGTTCTCGAAGTTTTTGAGGTGTTGCTACAGTCTTACTACACCTATCACATGTTCTATTTTTCTTATCTTTTCTAACCATAGCTACTAAGTCTAACTTTTGCACTATATTTTACTTATATAAATTCTTTTCTTTAATTAATTATTTCCTATTCTTTTCAGTTTCCGGTTATAGAGCCATCACCAAAGGCAATATTTACAGGCTTGCCAAAACGGTTTTAGGCTATTACGAAACTTAAGTATTAACTATTTATTAATCTTTTGAATTTTAATGTTAAAAAATAGGATGATTGGTGAATATTCATGTCCGTATCTTTGCAATACTGGAAAGGCTTGCAATAACCCTTGCATTTGCCCAGAAGGTTGCCGATTTCATTGGAAAGCTAAAAAACGGATACCATGTTCTGATTGCAGGAAGCTTACAGCTTCTGCTTGTGGCTGATGCCCGTTACATGTTAGAGGCTATTATGTTATTCAGCATTATGACAGGCTTCGATCAAAGATACAAGAAAGTAATGAATAGATCATTTCGGCTAGCACTTTATCTTAATTTTAGCCAGAATTTTGGGCATAATATCTAATGGGCATTTGCTAAATTTTCGTTAGACTTATTTATGGAAGGGGAATAAGGACCGTTAGACTTAATTTCGTTAAACATTCTCGTTAGACTTAATTTCATTAGACTTATTTATTTATAGGGAAATAAGGACTGTTAGACTTATTTGATAAATATGCTAATTAATATGCTAATCCTTATAGAATCAATTCTGGATATACTTATTTTCGTTAGGCTTATTTCTCATTAGATTTATTTACAATATAGAAATTATAATTCTAGAAGTCTTAGAAGCTTTTCTAATATATAATAAAAAATCAATATATAAATTAACCTTCTAAGCTGACTAGAAGCTCTTCTAATATAATATGAAAATTAAAATTCTAGAATTTTTTAGAACTTATTCTCATATAATAAAAAATTGCTATCAGATTTGAATTTCTTAGCAGGCTAACACACCAATTTCAATGTGGCCTAAAACAAAAACTCCACCTATAGTTAGATCAAAAATGTGGCCTAAAACAAAAATCACACTCCACCATTAGACTTAAATATAACCAAAAAATTGATATCAGATTTGGATTTCTAGCAAGTCAGCATACTAATGCCAATATGGTCATTTTGTTTCAAAATCTCTCAAATTAGCATTGTGTTATTTTGACAAATTATATTACTTTGATGAATTATATTATCTTGTCAAATATATATATTGCCAAATTATATTACTTTGCCAAATTATATTACCTTGTCAAATTTATATATATTTTTGTCAAATTATATTACTTTGCCAAATTATATATGTTTTGATGAAATTTTATATATTGTATTTGTGATTTAAAGGAATAATAACTAAATATTCATGAGAATCTTATAAAAAAAACTCTTTTCCGCAAATCTCAAAATTCCTAAAAATTTCCTTTTTTAGTAATACACCCAAAACACTCAAAGAAACACTTAAAGAAGGCACCAAGAGAAAAACTTCACAACATCTTTCTGAAAATAAAGAAGGACAGATATAACAGGTATATTTTGGATTCAAAAGTATACCAACTCTTTTTTATTATTCAAAACCAAAGACAGATACTTGTAACCTTTCACTGGAAAAGAGTAAAAAGCAAAAAATACAATTCACAGTAGAATTAAAAAAGAAAGTCAGCACCGCACTTCACAAGCTGCCAGCCAGTCATGCACCAGGTTAGATACCTCCCTAGACACTAGCAGGACTCAATATTGACCAGATTACACCTGGTAAACCAGGCAACCTTGCACACCAACACAAAGTCAGAAGGGTACCAAGACTTTCTCTCTACTGTAATTAAAAAAGAAAAACACAGATCCCAAT